TCGAGCAGCCCACTCCTTCTCTGTTAGCAGTAGTTTGCCGCTGTTCTTCGTTGCTGTTGCCTGCTCCAAGCGCTCGTCCACTGCCCGCAGATGGCTTGTCACATCCTCAATGGTGAGGGTGGACAAGTCCAACATCGTCTCTATGGAGAGAGCGATCTGGATGTACTTTGCCGGCACGGAGTGGAGGTACTTGAAGACCGCCTCCTCTTCGTCGATGGTGACGCCGTGGCTCTTCAGCTTGCTGATGAGCGTTTGCAGGTGGAGGGAGAAGTCCTCCACCGTTTCACCATCCTTGAACTTGAGGTTGGCGTACTCCTGCTTCAGAAGTTGGGCCATCGCCTTCTTTGCGCGGTCGGAACCGACGCGCATCGCTGCAATAGCCTCCCATGTCTCCTTAGCAGAGCTTTTCTCTCCCAATGGCTCCCTGTACTCCACCGGTACAGCAGCGAGGATAGCCTCCAACACTGACATATCATCTTCCTCATTGTCGGTGCCCTTATCAACAACATTCCAGAGCCGTCGGGCTCTGAGCTTGACCTTCATGGTCATCAACCACTCCCCATAGTTGGTGCGAGTCAGCGTCGGCCAACTAGTGTCGTTGACCTCCCGCACCGTGCGAACAATGACCTCCGAATTCGGATTCCGTCCGAACATCCCCGTTAGCGAGCTCATAAAACACGTCACTCGAGCCGTCGAGGCAAGTGACATCGCCTTAACCCCTCCGGTTATAGAAAACGTGGACGGGACGACAGTCACAAAACGAGCCGGCCCTTGACCGAATCCCCACCACGCGTGGGGGCTCGAGGAAGGCCGGGCCAACGATAAGACCAAGCACATGGTCACACAGCGATCGCCAGAATCCTAAGTAAGGTGTACGTGCAAATGCAAAAGTAAGCTCGCTACCCTCGCTCCGGTCTCCAGTAACATCCGGTCCCAGCGACCGCAAGGGGCCGGATCTCACTCGGGGGCTGATAAAGGTACGAATACCTCCTTTCTTTTTTTAATAGTCATTACATCAGACCTTTTCCTCGCGTCGAGACTAGCGGCAAGGTTCAGGGGAACAGATAGGTAAGACTGCAAAAAGCCCATGCCCAGACGGCTATGGTAATTTTGCTCACCAGCACAATCAAAATTTCCCCTAAACACCTCGGGCCCTGTAGTCTTAACGAACGGAAGGGTCGGATCGCATAAATCCTTTTTCATTGCAAAAAGGGAAGAAGATAAGATCGAACAAACGAAACGAAATTACAAAACAAATTCACGAATCTATTTTCGGACACAAAAGTACCGACACTTGTCCACATATTACAGATAAATATTTATTAGACTCAACTAACTAACTACCCCTCCGAGGGAGAACCATGTCTTCAATTTTGCTCGCTAGGCTTTCCACGAGAAGAGTCACCGCCGCTTCTATTTCATCCAGCTCGGAGAGCTCATAGCCAGGCGCGAAACCTAGGCTCATTGCCCTCAGGTTGATGTTAACATCATAATGCGAGCGGGCGATGGCGAAGGCTTGGATAATCCCCAGGCGAAAAGCTTCCTTCTCTAGCTGGCGCACCCGCGCTGTGATATCTACGGCACAGGCCGTGAGCGAGCTGGTCCCTTCCGCCTGCACCACCCGTAGGTCATCACAGACAACGCTCAGGTCAACCTTCAGGAGTTCGAGCTCGTCGCTCTCCGCCTGAAGAACACTCCTCGCCTCGGCGAGATCCCTGGCAAGTCCGACAGCGGCGCCCTCGGCCTCAAGCTTCTGAGCCTTCACGGTATCAAGCTTGGCCTGGAGGGAGCTGATCCTCTGTTGCGCCTCGTCACGCTCCCGCATGGCCTAGTCACGCTCCCCACAGATCGTACCGTGCTCCAGGCGAAGCCTCTCTGGGGTCTAGCATTGCTCGTCTCGCTCCCCACGTAGCCGAGCGATCGCCTCAGCGTCCAGCTTCGCCCTCTACTCCAGGGCCATGGACCTCTCCTCGGCTCGTAGCTTGAGCTCCCGTTCCTTCCCCACCTCCTCCAGGAGGTCGACGATCCGCTAGCGGGCCTCGGCATCCCGCTGGAGCAGCTCGTCCCGCTGACTTCTGCACCCTGGCGGCCAACTCCGCGTCAAGCCGTGCCCTCACCGCTAGATCCTGGAGCATCCCCGCGGCATCCTCCGGGTGCTGGCGGGACTCGGCTTCCCGCCGTCGAAGATCATCCGCCTCCGCCGCGAGGGGAGTCAGCTCGGCCACCCTCTGGCAGAGCTGGGCGGTCATGTCCCTATGCAGCCGTGCCTCATCGATGAGGCAGTCCCACTCTTCCTTGTGTCCGTGCAGGAACTGGGATTTCTCCCGGCTACGAGCAGCGAGAGACTGGAAAAAAGACAGGTGATCAGAAAAAAATAGATGAAGAAAGAAAAAATCAAGAGGTAAGACCAAGCAAATACCTCGCCGACGGGAACAATGACATCTCGAAGGGCGCCCTGGGCATGGTTCAGAGCATCCAACACGACCGCAATCCCATTGCCAAGGCTCTCCCGGTCCATGCCCTCGGCGCCATCGTCGAGGGTGAAGATCACCGACGACAGATCCTGCGGGCTCCCCCACCGGAGCGGGTGCTCGTCCCGCACGGGCGGGAGGCCGCCCCCCGATGCCAGGGACAGGGACAACTCCCTGCTGGTCTCCTCGACGACCACTGCGGCGTTCGAGGGTCCCTCGCCAGCGACCCCCTCCGTCCTGCCCAGGACGGGCGTCGCCTCGGAGGCCGCCGGTGGTGCAGAATGCGCCGCTGCCTCGGGCGCCGCCGCCACAGCTTCTGGCTATGGTCCACCCATCGCCGCCACCGTCACCTCCACCCCCGTCGGGGGACCTCATCTGGCTGCGCCTCGACCACCGCGGCCAACGCAATGGGTGTGGCCAGCAGCTCCGCCTGCTCTGACGCCGAAGGCGGGATCACCTCCACCGCCAGTCGTGCGGCAACCTCCGAGGGTGATCCCTCGGCTGCGCCGATTGCTCGACCCGCCGAGGGCGCGGGCACCATCGCGGGCGGCGCCAGACCCGCCGGCGAGGCTGTGCCACCAGCTTCGCTCTCGCCCGGAACGGGAGCAGCGTCAGACCCTGCAGTACTATAGCGTGTACAGAGTGGATGTTGGGGCCTTGGTTATACTCCACATCATCCATGTTGTCCCCAAATACATGTTTACGTTCTCGAAGCCTCTTTCCGAATTCGAACGAATACTCCAAAAAAATTTTAGATTCATTCAAATTGATGTTGAATCCAACCACACAGGTATATAAGAACCGTTGCCCCGCACACAAATGACTCTCATTGTCCGTCGACCGTCCTCTCCGCCCCTCGTCCTAAAAACATCGGGCCAACCTACATGTGGGGCGTAATGGTATGATCGAGTAAACATTTTATTTCACAATTTAATAAATCCCTCCGTTTAAAGGCTTGTTTAGCTGCATCCGTATCTACCTCAACCAACGTTGTTGGAGTGGATTAAAATAAAAATTTCACTATTTTTTCCGGAATCAACCCTAATATACGTGGATTATTGGCCAAACAAGACCTAAGAGGTTGGCTTAAAACTATACGACGTGATTAGGAGGGTTGACATTAAAAAAAACTGACTACATATTCCTCGCTGCATGGCTGGAAACGGCCAGCCTTCTTCACCGTTGACATGCACCAACAAGTTGAATAGTTCAGTGCCACGAACCCTAAAATAACCATTTTAAAAAGGGTTAAGTCCAATTTACACCCTCCAACTTACAGCAAAGTTCGGATTTCAACCTCAAACTTCAAAACCGGACAACTTTGGCCCTCCAACTCTCGAAAAAGTTCAACTTTCAACCTTCTTGTCGGTTTTGCGGGTGAACAGTAACTTTTGATATTTTCGGGGGCGTCGAAATTTTATATTATTTTTTCGAGCATCTTAACGTCCTCGAATGAAAAAACTCAAAACTACAAAGTTGTAGATCTCATCGAGGTCTACAATTTACATATAAAAATTATCTTCATCCGACATCGTATTGAAGGGTTTTGAGTTTTTTTGAAATTTGAGTCTCATCAGATGATAAAATATGGTAATATAAAATTTTATATTATATTTTATCGAGCATCTTATGATCCTCAAATTTAAAAAACTCAGAAACTACAAAGTTGTAGATCTCGTCGGATGAATATAATTTTAATATAAAATTATCTTCATCGATCTATAAATTGAAGGGTTTTTAGTTTTTTCAAATTTGAGAATCACGCGACAAAATTGTTTCGCGTGAAAACTAATAAAAATAAAATTTCAATCGAATAACCAAAAATAGCAAAAGTTACTGTTCACCCGCAAAACCGCCCAAAAGGTTGAAAGTTGAACTTTTTCGAGAGTTGGAGGACCAAAGTTGTCCGGTTTTGAAGTTCGAGGTTGAAATCCGAACTTTGCTGCAAGTTGGAGGGTGTAAATTGGACTTAACCCTTTTAAAAAAGGCTGCTAGCCGCCAGGACCAGGAGCCGGATTACACTGCACGCCAGAAAGGCAGAAGGTAGGAGTAGTACGCATGCTGCGGCATGCCAGAGTGCCCACGGTCAGGCGCAGGTGCACTCTCAATTCAGTGATTCACACGGCCATACATGCAGTGCAGTGCAATGCAGTTGCAGTGCAGTGCCCGGCTCCGCGTCGGAAGTCAAGATAGCAGCAAAAACAACTTGGGGGAATCAGAATTCAGAATGATGGCCCCAAAAGATATGGTTTTTTGCAGGATTAGTTTCTTGACCATTTATACGTCCTCTCATGACTGCCTAAACAAGCTTTGCTTTCAATTCCAATCATCCGTCCCGGTCTCTTCTTCCTCCCTCTCCTCTCTGGTCACATCATGCACACGGATGCCATCTCTCTCGTCTCTCTCTCCATTGGCAGGTTGCAGGCGTATATCACTAGCTAAGCAAGCAATCAAAGCACTACTACTGCCTGTCGCAAGTAAAGAGCTATCGGAGACGACGACCAGCACAGTGAACTGGCAGCTGCCTACATGCACCAGCTCGTCTTCTTGCTCCTCTCCCTCTTCCTCCCCGATGCAACCTTCTCCGCACCCGCCGGGTTGTGCAACCGGCAGTGCAGCAGCACCACGGTGCCGTACCCTTTCGGCTTCTCCGGCGGCGGTGGCGGCAGCGACTGCCCGATCCTCCTGTCCTGCAACGCCACCACGTCAACGGCGCTGCTCCCGCGCAGCACCGCGGCGGCGCCGTACCCGGTGCTCTCGTTCAACGCCACGGCCTCCACCTTCCTGGTCTCCCTCGCGCCGTCGTGCGGCCGCGGCGTCGCCGAGGCCAGGGCGGCGCTCGACGGCGCCGGGTACGGCGTCTCCTCGCGCACGGGGCTCTTCCTCCACGGCGGCTGCGGTTCGAGTTCGAATTCGAACGCGAGCAGCTGCAACGTGCCGTCGGGCGTCATGTCGGCCATCCTGCGCACGCCGCAGTGCGGCGGCGGCGGCAACGACACGTCCTGGATGTGCGTGCTCTCCGCGCCGCCGGCCCCCGGCAGCCCCGCCGCGACGACGGGCGAGGGCCAGTTCTTGCGCTGGGACACGGTGGACGCCGCCAGGTGCCAGGACGCGCTCACCTCGGCCGTGTACGCGTACACGGCGCAGGGCGTGCCGTCGATCGAGTTCGGCATCGCGGAGATGGGCTGGTGGCTCAACGGGAGTTGCAACAGCGGCGGCGGCACCGGCACCGGCGGGCAGTGCGCGATGAACGCGACGTGCCAGGACGTGCAGACGCCGAGCGGGGCGTGGGGGCACCGGTGCGCGTGCGCGGACGGGATGTCCGGCGACGGGTTCGCCGCCGGCGATGGGTGCCACTACGACGGCGCTACGAGCGGTGAGTGCACAGTGCTCGTGCTTCGTTGTCAGTTATTATCGTTACTCTCGTCACGGTGAACTGTGCTCGCGTCATTGCGTGTGCCGCCGTGGTTCTCTCGTCTCGAGCGGGGCCAGGCGTGACACTGACACGTCAACCCGGCCCGGAAGTCTTCCCTGCTCAATCATACGCGACCTAGCTCAATAAATTCTACGGGTACATACAATTCTCGAGTTTACCTTCGTTTTCGTTATAATAGAGAAGACGTGGCCATTGGGCCTTGAAAATGCGTATGTCCACGTCACCACTCACCACGTGCATGCTTCAAACAGGCTACAAGAACAGCTCGGAACAAGGAGTTATTAGGACCTCATGCAAACACAAGATATTCGAAACATAGGAGTAGGAAATTAAAACATAGAATTAAAGTTACATGTCAAACATAGAATTAATATTACATGTCACCTGTAATCCTACTTAAATTGGAAACGTGAGAAACTTTCTATAAAGCATTTGGATATAACATAGGGATTAGAAGAGAGTTAGTTACAAAGGAAAGTTTCCAACATGTTAGATCTCCTTTCAAATTCATATGAATTGAGCCATTCCATAAGAATTTTGTAGGATTTGAGGATAGCCAACCTTTGTTCCAACGGAACACATAGGGAAACAAATCCATATAAGTCTATAACCCTCCTAAATTTCTTCATAAATCCTTTGTTCCAAAGGGGGTCTTAGTGGGGGGAGAAAACATGGATAATCTATATAAGTCTATAACCCTCCAACATGTTTAGTTTGATAGATATCTATAGATGGAACATAGAGGATGGCGCGGTCCATGTTTTATAAACATTTGGTTCATAGGCAAGCTAGACTGGACAATCACTTATGCATGAATTGTACAGGAGTTCCATATAAATCAGTTTAATTTCACGAGAAAAACACAGGAATAGGAAAATTTTACCGCATTCCAAACAGGAAAGAATATTATCTTTATTTGCTCAATAAGTTTATCAATAAAAAATGATCGGGTGAGCTTATCCACATTTTCTAATGTTGGTCATTAGTAAAAAAAATCATGATGATTAGTATGTTATGTTAGTACTTAGAAATTATAATGCCAAGATTACTTTTGATTAGTGCTACTATGTTGATTAGTGCATGATTTGTGTGCCAATTAGGGTAGCAGTAACATATTTTATTTTGAAGTAGTAATTAGCATGAAAAATATTAAATGATAGTGTATATTTATTTGTTATTATTTTTAGTTCAAAGATATAATTATTCAACTATTTTCATCCGATCCAACAAAAAAATAGCTCGTCCAATCTATCGAGCCAAACGGGCAACATGAATAGTTCTATCTAGAAAGCTATGGATGGAATATATCTCAATCTGAACACTCAAAGTCGGATATATAAAACACACTCCCTACTTTCTATATAAAATATAAAGTGTAATTTAACTTAGTTCGGTCTCCACGGTCACATTTAAACGCTAAGTTTTCTCTTATAAATTGCCATATGAGGCAACAAAAGTTTGGTCGTTAGAGAGTATTTCTATATACAAATATAATGCAAATATTGTTATAGCATAAAGTTTTTATACAACTAGACTTATTATTAGTCAATGATTATGAAGTTTGAATTTTTCATATATGTGCATGTGCATGCCTTCTGTTTGGGACAGAGGGAGTATACGAGCTACATATCAATATCTGGTGCATCCAACACTATATTTGACTCTGAATACACCAAAAACAAACAACTACATGTATTTGGTATCTGTAATATCCGTCTGTATCTACTCCGATTTCATTCTAGGAGTTAGCGTAGTTAACTTATATTCAGTATATTAAGGAGGAAACAAGCCCTAACTCCGATGGAGGTGTAGCGACTGACGACTAATGTTGTAGGGTAGACCTATTCATGGGTCACTTGACATGACCAACCTGACATGATCCGTCCAAAAAAAAACTTCAGCATGTTCGGCTGAGGCTGAAACGATCGTATATGATCGTAGATTATTACTGCTAGCTGATTTGGTGTAAGAGAAAAATACTGTTCTGACTAAAAATTTACGATCGCTTACGACCAAGCGAACAGGCCGCTTACCCGATACGACCGGTCAGTGCGTCGGACCGAGTTTGAGCAATGATTTTTGACACGTGGTTTGACCCGATCCAAAAAATAGCCTGACTCGATCTGCCAGTGCATTGATCTTTTGATCCAATCATTTTTTTTCTTTTTCGATCGAACCTGAAATCGACCCGAGTTTGACCGGATGTAGTGTAAGGTTGTGTGTTTGCGAGAGCGGGCGATTGGCCGCGGGATGGGAGCAAACAGACGCGTGCCTATTTCGGCTCGAGCAACATCCAAATGCTAACCTGGGCTGGGCTTTTTTCTTTTTTGAGCAAAACCTGGGCTGGGCTGGTAAGGGCAGAGCCCCCACGGGCCTCAATCCACCCACGGATTGGGTCGGGATCCGGTGAGGATTGGGCTGTCCAAAGGAGTCCTTTAGAGGGCCCAGACGCAGCTGCAGCACCCAAAAAAAAAAAAAACCACGCGGCTCTCTGATTGACTGACTAAACAAGCAAAGCAATCACGGTCACGGCTGCCGTCTCTTTCTCCATTGGCATGGCATCTTCCTCCAGCTTGTCTTTGCAATATTAGGTAGGCCGCAGGCGTATATGACTAGCTAAGCAAGCAATCAAAACACTACTCGTCGCAAGCACACAGCGGAGACGACCGGCCGGCAACGTGAACTCTGTCTGCCTACATGCGCCGCCTGCTCCTCCTCCTCCTCCTCCTCCTCCTCTCCCTCTCGTATGAAACCTCCTCCGCCGCCGCCGGCGGCGGTGGCGGTTGTAGCGATCGACGGTGCGGCAGCACCTCAGTGCCGTACCCTTTCGGCTTCTCCGGCGATTGCCCCATCCGCCTGGACTGCAACGCCACCTCGTCCACGCCGCTCCTCGTGACGAACAACACCGCGGACGCGCCGTACCCGATCACCTCGTTCAACTCCAGCACCTCCACCTTCGTCGTCTCCGTCGCGCCCTCGTGCAGACGCACCGTCCGCGAGGCACAGGCGTCGCTCACCGGCGCCTGCTACGGCGTCTCCTCCCACACCGGGCTGTTCCTCCGCGGGGGTCGCTGCCGCTTGCCGGCTGCGTCCTCCAGCTGCAGCGTCAGCGACGAAGTTCTGTCGAGCCTGTTCCCCACGGCGCAGTGCGGCGGCCGTGGCAACGATTCCGCCTCGACGTGCGTGGCCTCGCCGCCGCCGGCACCGAACAGCACAGTTGCGGCGACGGCCGAGGAGGAGGGCCGGTTCCTGTTCCTGCAATGGAAGAAGGTGGACGACGCTGGGTGCGAGGACGTGACGTCTGCGGTGTATGCGTACACGCCGCCGGAGGGGGTGGCCTCGGTGGAGTTCGGCGTCGCGGAGCTGGGATGGTGGCTCGACGGGAGGTGCAACAGCACCTCCGCCAACGCCAACGCTACCGTGGTTCGCTGCGCGCAGAACGCAACGTGCCACGACTTCGAGACGCCGAGCGGGGCGTGGGGCCACCGGTGCGCGTGCGTGGACTGGATGTCCGGCGACGGGTTCGCCGCCGGCGATGGATGCCACTTCGGCGTGGGTGAGTTCTTCCTGATCATTATTTGTTGCTCCGATCCAGTCGGAGTCTCGCAGTCTGACGGACGGATCCACGCGTGCCACAGAGGATCCCGTGTGGGCCCCGTTGGTGAGCGGGGCCTGGCGTGCCACGTCAGCGGGGCCCGGAAGTCTTCCCTGCGGTCAATCACGCGCGAGCTAGCTAATCATAGTTCACACTCATCACTAACCCACCAAGTTATGTTACGTTGCCTTAATGTGGCAACAGTGGCATATCACTTTCTAAAGGAGAGGAGCACTGCTAGGTTTTTGTATGCCCATCTCCAACGCTACAACTGCCAAGCAATTTTATACTTCAAAAAATCTGATTTTGTGTTTTGCGCAGTTATGGTACAATGTTTTTCTCTCGCAACGAATTAGTATCAGCCGCAGAAATCATCACAGACTCTTACAGACCGAACAAAAAAACCCCGTTGATACTACTAGGATTGATGCCGCTGTTTCTTCTAATCTCACATCATTTAGACTTTGCCGTGCTTTAAATAAGGCAGGTGCCAAAGATGGAGACTGGGTTTGACAAATAGGATAGCAGTGTCTGCCACGTGTTTGAAACTGCCACACCTTGATCCTTAATGCAGCCAGCTGATAAATGGCCGCATGGAACCCTTGAGGCCTTGCTTGACCTTTTCACAGTTAAAAATACACCACATTTTGTAATTTCATATTCTTTCTTGAATTCAACCCGTCGACATAAGCTACGAAACGGGATTTGTATTTTCTATATATGTTTCCACGGTGACTCTTCCGGGTCCAACAAATCGTGTCTAGAAGATTTTCCGGTTGAATTTTCTCAAGTGGCAACCGTACCTTAGCCAGAATCGAGCTGTCAACAAAGACCGGGAGTGTAATTGCATAGCCTGGAAAACTCTGAGGCGCTAGTAATTTTTTTCTAGTTACTGTTTGAAAAAAGAAATATTTTTGTATGGACCTAAATATATATGATATGAATTCAAATTACGATCTGAGTACGAATCTGTCAGAATCATTGAGTCAGACGACAGGTCATATAAATGAAGCATTTTTTTAGTGGCACTAGTACTCCTCAACAGAAAACCTACCAACTGCCACCAAGTACCAGAATCTGCCCCAATTTATGATCTTACCAAGTCAATGCATTACAACTTTTGTTTTATCAAAAGCAAATATAAACTTTACTATAAGGCCATGTTTAGTTAGGCCATGTTTAGTTCATCAAAAATCCAGAATTTGGCACTATGCAAAAAAAAAGATTCCATTAAACTTGCGCTACATGTATGGAGTGCTAAATATTGACGAAATCAAAAACTAATTGCACAGTTTGGTTGTACTTTACGAGACAAACGTTTTGAGCCTAATTAGTCAACGATTGGACAATTATTACCAAAAAACTCAAATGCTACTTTTTCAGGAGTTCCAAGTTGAATTTCAAAGGCAAACTAAACGCGGCCTTACTCCCAATTCCAGAATTTGACACTATGCAAAAAGAAGATTCCCCGTCACATCAAATTTGTGGTATATGTATGGAGTACTAAATGTTGACGAAATTAAAAACTAATTGTACAGTTTGGTTATACTTTGCGAGACGAACGTACTGGACAATTATTACCAAATAAAAACAAAACGGTATTGTAGCTACAGTACCCCCGAAATTTCGGCGGCGCCGATTCGGTGCGTGAACTAAACACGGCCTAACATTCCATTGTAATAATGCTCACATCTTTTTCTGTACTTTCTCTCTCTCTTTTTTTCAGGGAGTTCCAAGAAGAAGGTTTTCCTCATAGCTCCAGGTAAAACCAAAAAAAAAAAAATAACAGACTCCTCTGCTTTGACTTTTATTACTGTTTGTCAGTACAACACGGCAGTAATCCTGCTGTGTACGACATGGTGAGAACTGAGAACAACGAGACGAGTCCAGTCAAGTCAGTTTGTCTCGTCTACGGAGTAGTCCCTCTTTTCGCTGCCGGATACGTGCAGTTTCAAGCACGTTGATTGCTGACCGCTTATAGACCTGGAATAATTCTGCAAACACAAATGAAAGAAATGAAAAGGAAAATCTTTTTTATAGTTTCAAGTCAGATTTTTGTTGCGTTTTTTGACCAAGAAAATGATTTTATTTTATCAATTCCAACGTCAGGTGTTCTGGCGGGCGTGGCGGCGGCCGCCGGCGCGCTTCTGCTGTGGCGGCTGCAATGCCGGCGGCGCAAGGCCGGGCGGTCCTCGTCGGAGCGGCTGGAGGCGATTCGGCTGCTGTCGGAGGCGGCCACGTCGAGCGGCGTGCCGGTGTACTCGTACGCCGAGATCGCGCGCGCGACCAACTCCTTCTCGCACACGCACCGCCTGGGCACGGGCGCGTACGGCACCGTGTACGTCGGCAAGCTCCCGGGCAGCAGCAGCAGCAGCGCGCCGGCGGCGCTGGTGGCCATCAAGCGCCTGCGCTGCCGCCTCCACCACCACGACGACGACGCGGCGGCGGAGGCGGCGCTGCTGCTGAACGAGATCAAGCTCATCTCCTCCGTCAGCCACCCCAACCTGGTCCGCCTCCTCGGCTGCTGCCTCGACCGCGGCGAGCAGGTGCTCGTCTACGAGTACGTGCCCAACGGCACGCTCTCCCAGCACCTCCTCGCCAGTGGCGGACGCACCTCCCGGCTGACGTGGCGCGCGCGGCTGGGCGTGGCGGCGGAGACGGCGGCGGCCATCGCGTACCTGCACGGCATGCGGCCGCCCATCTTCCACCGCGACGTCAAGTCGAGCAACATCCTCCTCGACGGCGCGCTCCGCCCCAAGCTGGCCGACTTCGGCCTGTCCCGCGCCGTGGACCGCCTGGAGGCCGCGCGCTCGCACGTGTCCACGGCGCCGCAGGGCACGCCCGGGTACGTGGACCCGGAGTACCACCAGAACTTCCACCTCTCCGACAAAAGCGACGTGTACAGCTTCGGCGTCGTGCTGCTGGAGCTCATCACCGCCATGAAGGTCGTCGACTTCGACCGCCCGCCCGCCGAGGTCAACCTCGCCTCCCTCGCGCTCGACCGCATCGGCAAGGGCAGGGTGGGCGAGATCGTCGACCCGGCGCTCCTCGGCGGCGGCGACGGCGAGGAGTGGGTCATGGGCTCGGTCCGCCACGTCAGCGAGCTGGCGTTCCGGTGCCTCGCGTTCCAGAAGGACGTCCGGCCGTCCATGAGCGAGGTGGCCGCCGAGCTGCACCGGATCAGGTTCGCCGCCCCGGACCCGGACGACGGCGACTCCGAGGAGCCCGGGTCAAGGCTCCGGCCTATGACTATGATGGACATCCAGATCGACGTGAGCTTGGACGGCCCGGACGCAATGGCGAAGAAGGCCGCGGCTTCGCCGGTGTCCGTGCAGGAGGTGTGGGTCAGCGACCAGAGCTGGCCGTCGACCAACGGCTCCATGCCGCGCTTTGCTGCGTAGCGTAAGCTATAGCTCTTGTACACTGATGAGGAAACCGATGTGATTTAACAAAAAATTTGTCCCTGATTTTCTCTAGTAAAATTCAGTGTCCAAGATGCCATCCATTGTTGTATAGCTACGATTTTTTTTAAAACAAAAAAAACATAATGTACTGTGCAGCATTATCTTAAAATCTCACTGGCATTAGTTAGTACAAAAACTGCCCATGGTATTGCTAACAGTGTCAGGAGAAAGGCATCTTTGGTTTCCTTCATCGTACTTTACCATGCAAGCAAGAAAACATTAGTTTGTCCACAAGATACCTCAAAACAGAACTCCATAGTTTTATCAGAACACAAACTACTTACACAAGAACAATATCCACACTTTGTTTCCTTCACCAATTGCACTAGGCCACATGGAATCATTGGGGAATACACTGATTTTCACAAGGAACCAGCAGAACATCAAGCTATATATATATGCTAATTTATTCTGCAGCTGGCCATAGAATAACTTATTTTGTGGTCACTTTGAGTTACGATAGTTACTATGCTAATTTACGAGACTACAATAACTCCTTACTAAGTGATTTACTATAACATTATAATAAATATCACCGTGAGTTGTAATAACACGAGTATCGTAAATGCATATTCATGTTATCGTAAATTGATACAAACATTATCGTAAATCAAGGTGGCTATAGAATAAGTTATTCTATGGCCAGCTACAGAATAGCCTTATATATATATATATATATATACACACACACTGAAGCCTGCAGAGAGCGAAGACACTGAAGCAAAACCACTCCAGAAACTGAAAACAGCATCCTGTTCCTACATCTGAATTGAAAGAAGAGAAGAACAAGAAGAAGATGTGCTACAAGGTGGAGTGCAGCAAATGCGGCAAGTTCACCTGGAACGGCTGCGGCAAGCACGTCGCGGCCGTGTACGAAGGGATCGAGAAGGGGAAGCACTGCAGCTGCAAGCCATGGCCAGGCGTCGACACCAAGGCAGAGGGATCCACATCGGCTGCCAAAGAAGGTGAGACGCCTTTGCTGAATTTCTCGTGTCTCCAATATCACAGGCAAGGCCAGTTTGCTGAACTTCGATTGTTGTGGATGGTTTGCAGGTGAAGCGAAAGCTTGAATTCCATGGAAAAGATCAACTAGTTTTGCCGCTATTCGATTGAAGGAGCTCATCATTTGAGAAAATGATGCTTGCCTCTGTTATCTACCTGTCTGCGTGTACTGGTTTCTGGTTTCTATAGAAGTCCAAAAAATATAAAAGCAATGTTAAGTTAGTTCAGGCTATTGCGTTGCTGAAGAGTCCAATTAAGGCTGAGGTCTCTGAGAGAGTGTGAGACTTCAGAAAAATCTTTGAGCAAAGAGTTATATGCCATATCATATCTATCAGTAATAATGTGTCATCGATTCTTCTTCAGCGACTGAACCAGATCCTCCTGTGTCATCATCTCTCACCATGTTGCCACAGGGATCAATCATTTCAAATGATGCTGTCAGTGGTGAAATTGATAGTCACGTTAGACTCCCTGTTGGATTCTTGTTGTATAAGGAAACAAATCATGGGCTCCCTACAATACTGCTGCAGTATTGCGCAGCTGTGAAGCTGCAGCTGAAGCGAGCACTCCATGGTGCTCTGAGAGGCTAGTCACTTGTTCTTCCAAAAAATTGAAGGAAGCAACAGCATAAACAAAAGCATTTTGAACATAATAAATTGTGGCTGCAACTGCAAACAACAATACACACAAATTTAAACGCTTTATTACCGGGTCAAATGGAAGAATCGTTAAGTATACAATGTTGCATACAAAAACAAAGAGCATTTTTTATCAGAAAAAACAAAGAGCATTGATGCTGTATAAACACCGGAGCACATGACGAGGGAGGACACCGAAGAAACCGACTCTATTACTCCAGATTCCAGTGACATCATGGGCCCCAAAGGTGGATTTGCTGTACTCCTTCCATTCCAAATTATAAGACGTTTTCCATTCCAAATTATAAGATGTTTTGACTTTTTAAGATACAATAGATTTTATCAAGTATCTAGACATAAACATATATCTAGGTGCATAGCATAACTACGTCTTATAGTTTGGAACGTCAGGAGTGCTTCATAGTGCAGTGCAGCAGATCCGGAAATATTCAGCATGAACGGTTGTGGCAAACATTCCATCAAGAAAAAAATGTCATACAGTTAGTAGAAAATGTTATTTTCACTGAAAACTGAAATCAGGGCTGATGTCCAAACTGAGTTGGAAAAGTTCAGCAAACTCTTTGGTCATGGAATCATATGCTACATCCATCAGCGATGCATCATCGATTTCTCTTGCACCAGATGCCTTCTGTAGTATGTTCTTGACGCTGCCCACGCCACGGTCCTTTATGCCACAAGGATCAATCATTTCAAACGGGGCTAGGTCAGTTGTGACGTTTAGTGCTAGACCATGATAAACTATCATCCGGGAACCATGAATCCCTATCGCAGCAACTTTGTGGTTCCCTATAGAGGAAATGGAGATGGATCATTAGCAATACCATATGGTACCCCTTGATTTTATAAACGTTAGAAAATCCCAATGGATGAGATAACCGGAAACTTGGTAAAATACTTGAAATTTTGTGAAGGATTGCACATACCAACCCAAACACCAGTGAGACCTTCTACTCTTGTTGCCTTGATAGAGAAGGCGGATTTCAGTGCACGGATGATCACTTCTTCAAGTGACCTAAAGTACCAGTCAAGATCCTTTTTGTGGTACCCCAAATTCATAATCGGGTACATGACAAGCTAGGAAAAACAAAATAAATGACTGTAAGAAGCACCTATGAAGTATATTCACTAATGATAGCTGCAAAGTATATTTTTTGAACCAAATACTGAACAAGAGTATACAGTATGGAATCAAGATCGGTTGTATCCTGATGTCAGATATGACCAATGCTGGGGTCTATACTAGCTACTAGGAGCTATACAGCAACCAGAATTAAGAAGCAACTAATCAGTAAACACACCACCAAAGTATGAAGTGCACTTCTACACATGCAACTACAAAAACATAGCTGATAAATACCTGTCCAGGGCCATGGTACGTCACTTCCCCACCGCGATCATTACGGTGAACCTCAAAAGGAGCATCTTCCATGTCGAAATGGAGGTATTCCTTCTTGCTTCTAGTGCCCAACGTATACACCGGTGGATGTTGCAAAGCAATCAAGGTGTCAGAGTGGTCTTCGCCGCTGTCTAGCAACCCTTTCCTCCTCTCAACAATGGACTTCTGCCAACAGTAAGCTTCCCCATAAGGAACTAACTGCCGATGGAGGTCAAAGCATTCGCACCTGCTCAACACAGCTAGCGTCATCACCATGACGGACACGACCGAAGCAGCAAAAATTAGGAGCAGGTTGTGCTGAACATTCTGTTCTGAGTATTTGACTTAGGTGTAACAGAAGAATGATGGTATTGAAACAGCAGCGTGAACCGTTTCTTTAGACATCTAAATATCCAAGAGTGAAGAGAACAACCAGATGGAATTCCGTCTGCTGAACTGTTGATGATTCAGCTCGTGAACGAGAAACTACACAGTGACTTCTCACTTGTCCAATTAGATTTTTTTAGGGTTCTTTTGGGGGGCATTCAATTACTACGAATTAACTAGGCATCTCTAAATTTGAGGCTTGGTGAATTGTGCACCACTGCTATATCAGAAGCATGCAGTGCATCACAGAATGGGGCATTCGACATGGCACACCACACGACTAACATTGATGGAAGGGACACCACGAGCTCATACCTCCTCCTGTCGGCGGGGGTGGGACGGGGCTTCGGCTCGGTGGTAGGGCCGGAGCGGCCGCCGGCTGCAGCGAGGGGCAGGCTTCCCCTCCGGTGGCGCGCTGAGGCGGCCGTGGGCGGGGGCGACGGCAGCAGGGCCATGGCGACGGCGCCAGCCTCGTTGCACGTGTGGCGATGGGCGTGTGCGAGGGGTACGGCCCCTTTTATGCTCCCCGTGCGCCGGCGGCGGTGGGCGGTGGGCGGAGGCGCCGAGGCGAGCGCAACGCTCGGCGTCGGAGGCTGGTGCGGTTGGAGCAACTAGCATTTTGTTTTGTCATGGAAGAAAGAATTTGTTTTTCGTTGGAAAAACCAAGAAGTCAGGATCCGGCCCACGGAGGGTCGTTGGGCCATGGGCCTAGCACCTTGTAGTTGTAGCACAGAACATGGACTGGCGTCCGTCGGTGGCCTGTTTGGATCCCATACCTCGTGAATCAAATAGCTCTAGTGGATCAAATACCTCGGCGAAATCCAACTAATAATAATAATACTTGCAAGATGTTTTCCCCTCAAAAAAAACTTGCAAGATGTTTCCCTAAAAAAATAATACTTGCAAAAATAATTTATTTATCTAATTTGAAAGTTATTGACCGGGACTATTTAAGTACTACTACCTATTAATTGTAAGATCCAAATGGAGCCCAGCTAATAGCCCTACTATAGTAGTAAAGTAGCAAAAAGTTATAACCTCCGTCAAAAAAATACAATTGTAGATGCATTTTTGGTTAAAATGTTTGAAGTTTGACCAAATATATGGATAAAAATATATATATAATGATATAAAATTAGTTTATTATATGAAAGTATGTTTAATGACGAATCTAATGGTACCTATTTAGTATGACAAATATTATTAACTTTTTATGTAAATTTGGTCAAATTTGACATACTTTAACTTGAAGTCGCAAAAAAAAACACATACTTTAACATGACACTATTCTAGAATTGCATGCTTCTTGGAACGGAGGTAGTATTAGTTGGTTTCCTCCCACTAGAAATTAACAATTTGTTGCCTAGGTCTAAACAAGCCTTTAGTGAGTTAGAGCATCTTCCGTGGCATTTTGTTATTCTAGACTCGCTAGCAATCCTTGCTATACAGATTGGCTCTTTACTTTTCTCTACGGAGTTATTAAATGATGACTTATGTAAACATGGCTCTCTAGC